AAGGCAGAGTATAGAAGACCGTTGCCTCTCTAATCCTGAACATTAACACCTGGCTTAATGTCATCTAAGATCCCCTTAGTTTCTTTACTGGCCACAACACTTTGTTGACATGATGAGCTTGCTATTCACTAAAACTCCCAGATTATTATTATTTTTTTTTTTTGGTGAGGCAATCGGGGTTAAGAGACTTGCCCAGGGTCACCCAGCTAGTAAGTGTTAAGTGTCTGAGGCTGGATTTGAACTCAGGTCCTCCTCATTCCAAGGCCAGAGCTCTATTCACTGTACCACCTGGCTGCTCACCCCCCCAGATTATTTTTTTAGACAAACTGCTAGCTACCCATGCTTCCTCACCTGAAACTTGTATGGTGAATTTTCTAAACAAAGTGTAAGATGTTTATCACAATTAAGTTTCTCTTTAGTAGATTTGATCCAGTGTTCCACCCTTGAGATCTTTTTGGATCCTAACTGTTGAATCCAACACGGATTGTTGTCCTTTCTAATTTTGTGCCATTAATACATTTGATAAGCATACTTTCCATGCCTTTATCCAGTTATTGATAAAAAAATATTGATAGCACAAAGCTAACACCAATGCCTGGGGCATTACACTAGAAACCTCCTTCCAAGTCAACCTCCAGCCACTAATGTCTATTCCTTGGGTCTGGCTGCCCAACCCTTTTCAAATGCATCTAATTGTATGATCTATCTAGCCTACATCTCTCCATCTCGTGCAAAAGAATAGCATGAAAAGCTTTGCCAAACGCTCTGTTAAACTGTAAGTAAATGTTGTTTGTAGCATTCTCCTGAATCTTCAGTGTTTTACCAGCCTACTTAACCTTTTAGAAAAGGAAATAAAATTAGCTTGTCATGACCTCTTCTTGATGAAGCCATGCTAGCTGGATTTTTGTGAAAACTGTTAAGATTAGCAATCTTCTTTGCAATATATTCATCCATGTCCCGCTCTTTATGTGTGAATAAAGCCCAGGGCTCTCTCATCCTAGACCCTTTTCTCTTCTCTCTCTACACTCTTTTTTCTTGGTAATTTCATTAGCTTCAAAGGGTTCAACTATCTTCTCTGTGTAGATGACTACCAAATATGTAAATCCAACCCTCACTGCTCTCTTAAACTCCCACCCTCTATCTTAACATCTACAAATGCCTGCTGGACATATCCACAGATATCTCAAATTTGACATATCCAAAACTGAACTCACTATTTCCCCCAAACCTTCCTTTTCTTCTAACTTTCCTACTTGTCTTTTTGAGGGCACCTCCTTACTTTCAGTGACCCAGGTTAGCAATCTAGGAGTAATCTATTACTCTTCAGACTCACTTGTTCTCCATATCCATTCACTTCCAAATTTTCTCTGTTTTGTCTCCATAATATGTTATGTCCATGCCCATTTCATTTATCCCACAGCCACCCTAGCTCAGGCTCTCATTAACTCTCACTTGTACCATTGCCATTGTCTCTTAATTGACCTTCCAGCACCCAGCTTCACCCTTCTTCAATGCACCCTGTTGTCAGATTGGTAATCTGAAAGCACCAATCTGAACATGTCATATCCCTGTTCAAGAAGCTGCAGAGGAACCTATTGCCTTTAGGATAAAGTACAAACTCCTTTGGCCCTTTACATGTGGTTTTAGCCAATCTTTCCAGGCTGATTATATATTACTCCCCCACATGTAAACTAGTCAACCTAGTCTACTTGCTGTTCTGAGCATATGACACTGAGTAATCAGTTGTTCACCTCTGGGCCTTTGCCCCTTGTCTGGAATCCTCTCCCTCCTTACCTTCATCTCTTGGAAGCTCTACCTCCAGAAAACACCTTGAAGCTGAGGCTTTGTGACTCAGTCTCCACACTGAGAAGTACCATACTTGGGGATATGGGCTCCACCCCAAGTGATTACCATGATCCAATTTGTTCTCATCCAGACCTAGTCAGGCAAGATTTGTCTGGCCAAGTAATACATGTGGTTTGATGATGATGAGAACCAGAAGCTGATTAAGGAGATCCATGCTGTCATCACAGCCTAGGACTCCAAGCACAGCAACTTTATGGAGTTCCAGAACTTCAAGAGCATTTATCAACATTGACATTATGTCAGCCTCTATTTCTGCATCTGTGTGAATGTCAATGACAACAACTTGACCTACTAGAGGCCAATCACAATTTTATAGATGTCTTAAATTAATATTTCCACAATGTCTGTGAAGTGGACCTCATCTTTAACTTCTGCCAGGTTTACATGATGGTAGATGAAATATTTCTGTCTGGGAAAATCCCAAATGAAGATGCTGAAATAGCTTTTGATATTGCAGTCCCTTGAGTAAGGGAGCACTGGTGGGGCCCAGCCCTCTTCTCCAACATGCCTTCCCAGCCAGGACATCCACCCTCATTTCCTGCTTCTCTTTTCTCCTCTCCCTTCATCCCATCCCCTCCCCCCCCCACCTCCTAGAAGATGCTCTGTTTACAGTGCATCCACCCCTGGCCAGGATCAGGAGTAGGGGAGTCCAATGTGTATGGTGCCATATATCTTGTAACCTTGCTGTGGTGGCAGTGATGCTGTGAGCATGTGAGTGAGCCTACATATCTGTGCATGCACGCGCACACGTACTTACTTGGAGCTCCCAATGAAGTTTGGGACCTATTCTGCTAGGAAAAAATAAAAACAACCTAGCTCCCTTCAAGGCTTAGCACAAGTAACATTTCTTACAAGAGAACTTTCTTGACTTCTCCAGCTTTTAATCCTCCCCCCCCAAATCACTTTATATTTATTTTATATTTATTTGTTTGTTATCTTGTATTTTATCTTGTATGTCTCAGTAGACACTAAGACTCCTTGGGGGTAGGGATTGTCTTGTTTTTGTCTTTGAATCTCCAGCACTTAGCACAAAGATTGGTTTGTAGTACATATTACATATAAATTACATACATATATTGCACATATATTATATACACATGTATATAATAAGTGCTTATTGAATTGGATTGAAATCAATTGAATTGATTTGTAAATACCTATGGCCCAGGGGTTGGGGATGTACTCTTCCACTGAGGTTACCTAACTCTGGGCTCATGTAGATTGAGTTCAGTCCTTGGGAGAGTCTGGCCCCTAGATGGGAGTAAGGGATGTTCATGCTCTCTGGCTCATTATGTTTGCACCCTTGAGCCCCAGGAAAAACTTCTTATAGCTTAAATTTGTTTCTTATCCAGGTCCTCCTCACCAAAGGAATTTTAACAGTGTCCCTTCTAACAAGGTATTCAATGTACAAAGTAGGTTGCATATAGAACAGCTTTTTATTTCCTCTATAATAAGAGAATTGTGTAAAGAAGAACAACAAAAACTTATAAGCATATATTGACAAATACTTAACACATGATACAGTAATGCACCACACATTATACTCTTCTGGGAGTTTGATACTTAAAACATAAAACTTTGTGGAGCTTCTGAACAGGGATTAGATCTTCACCTCAGCTCTACACTGCATGGAAAACTCACTCAAGGTCCATATTCTCTGGCAAATTAGGGCCCATCCTCCCGCTGGTGGTTGTTTCCTCTGAAAAGTTGTTTCAGAGGTCATCATAACTTGGGGGTGGGATAGGAAAAAGGAGAAATACAGTAGTCTGAGGGAGAGGCTTGAAAAGTCCCAACACATTCAATAAGTGAGAAGAGAGAACAATAGCAGAAATTATTTCTCATTTTAAGGTCTACTAAACAGGCAGCCCTTCCTGTTTGGTGGCCAGTCCTCTTTCACACAGAACCTCCTCTCTACCCTTCTCCCTCCCAACTCTGGCAACACCAATGTCAAATGGACCAAGTGGCCAATAAGAAGATTACTGTCCTTATTCCAAAGCACAAGTCCACAGGAACCAATAAGGAATGGATGTATCATCCCAAAGCAAAAATCCATCTGTGATGGGCCAGAGCACATGTGTCATTGGAATGGCTTGGGGAACTCAACTTAGCTTTGTGCATGCTCCGTCATACAGCTCCTGCTAGCTCATCCCCATTCACACTCAATGGGTTGTTCTGTAAACCAAATTCCTGCTGTAGATATACTAATATACAGCAATATATCCAAAAGTTTAAGTTCTGAAAGTGCTTCCAATTTATCCTTTTCATTTCTCTTCCCTAATCTCCCCCCCCACATCACATTCTAACTCCATGCATTGCATCTCCCTCTCATTAAGGTATAGCCATTTTTTCACTTTTTGTGAATGAAGAAATTAAGGAAAAGGGCTAAGGCCAGTACCTCAAAACAAATTTTGATTTCCCTCATCTTTTCTTTTTCTTCCATCCTTCCTTTATTTCTGTCTTCCTTTCTTCTCTCTCTCTCTCTCTCCCTCTCCAAATTTTCTTCTTCCCCTATAGCTCCATATTTATCTTCTTCTCAGCCCAGGCTTTCTCAGTAAGTTTCTGGTTATGAAACATAAAGCTTATGGGTGGTAATTCATATCTTGATTTAATTTTTGGCCTACAAGACATAAAGTATTTTGAATACATTGTCTTCTGTCAACTATGAATAAGGAGTCTGCTCTTTGGGGAGATTATATACTGATAAAACAAGGTGGGCTACTATATGTTAAATTTGTTTTTATGGGAATAGTCTCTTTTTATGTATTGTATATAGAGATTATTTTTTCAAGACATGTATTTGATTTGGAAGCCAGTGTCAGTCATAAGTCCAAGTCATCAGTCTTCTATTTTTCAGGTTGATGAAAATATTAATAGCATAAAACTAACACCAGTGCCTGGGGCACTACACTAGAAATCTCCTTCCAATTCAAACTCCAGCCTTTAATGTCTACTAGCAATCCCACTTCTTCCATTAAGCTTTTTTTGGATTGATCTCACAACCATGGCCTACTTGGCAAGATGTTCCCACCATGATCTCCAAATTTTGATTACCTGATTGGTTTTTTTTACACACTCTCCTTTCAGTGTAATAAATTGACTAGATATCAGCTAGGACTCTTTCCACCTCTAAATACTTTGCTAGAATACAAACAATTAATGCAATTAACCCTGACCACTAAACTCTTTTGGGGAAGAAAAATAATCTAGTTTTACATGTACTAAGTGTCCAAAAATAATTGAAAAGAAAGAAATATTTTTGCTTCATTCAGATTCCTGAAATTGGCAGAAGAAATAGTACCTTATTAAAAAACTAGAAGCTGTGTCTGAATTAAAACTTCCTGCTCATTTTTCCCTGAGCTACACAAAATAAATCTCTTCAGGAAATTGAAGATTTACAAACTCAGTCCTCTTCCTGAACACTTAGCCACATGACTGATGTAATAAGAGAGCTTGGCAGCTTAGTTACAGATTATGAGTTTGGGGGCAGGGAGTTAAAGAACAGCGAATACCATATCTGTCCTGGCCAACCCAGCAGTTGTGGACTTTTTTTGTTCATGAGGTGAAAGGTAAGCATAATGGAGGGGACGGGAATTAAGAGTTCCCAAGTCCTTGTATGCATTCTTTACTAAGGCAATTATAGAAAACGCAATTTATGGGGGTCAAGGTCCACCTGTTTCCTTTCAGAGATATTGAAGCAAATGGTTACATAGGACATGAGATGCAAATGAGGAAATGAGGAAGGATAAAAGAAAATATGAAAGAAAATGAGGATGAAAACTGAGGGGGGAAAGAACAAAACCAAAACACTGTCATGTTTAATGCTGACTTAGAGCCAATAGCAACAAACTCACGGACAAGAGAAAGGAAAATTAACACCAGGAATTTATCACCATAATTGCATTAGAGTTGCTGTATTGCTGGAGATTGGCTAGGAAAGGTATCCTGTTTAAACCAATATGGAAAACGGCAGCTGGGCCCACAAGTTGGGACTTGGGGAGCTGGAAGTTCCTGGGGGTAGGGAAGACGTTTGTTGTGGCCGTTATATCCAATAACAGGAAAAATTTGGTTGGATCTTGAGCATCCTAGCTATCTGAATGTGATTTGAGGCTGGGCTCAAGAAGTCTATAGTGGCCCTGCAAGTACTTTTTACTTGTTTGTCCTTTGTTTTCAAAGAGGACCAATGACATCACAGGGTGATATCTTGACTTGTGTGTGAATTGGATTTACATGAGGCAGAGTTGCACAAAGTTGTCAGCCTCACTCTCTCTTCCAGAGTCCTCAGAGCCCACTGGCAAGACAACAGTTAAGATGACTGGTGATGGCTTGGGTTGCAGTGGATGACCTTGGCATCTTCCACAGAACCTGCTTTAGCCTCCTTCAAGGTCATTGAACAAATTGCACTCTTCTGCCCATTCCACTAGGGGAAGTCTTCACATGTTTAGGGTAGCCACCCCAATAATACACCAATGGGTTTCAGGTCAATAGGTTACCCTCAACCTGATTTAGCCTGTCTGCTGAGAAGGTATACTGGGGTGTGGCCACTGCCACTTTTTACTACAAATGAGGAGTAAGAGTTGCACTGTTTATTGATTTTAGAGTGGAAATGGAATACTACTGTACCATAAGAAATGATGAACTTGATGATCTTAGAAAAACATGGAAAGACTTTAACGAAATAATGAAGGATGAAATGAGCAAAACCAAGAGAACATTATTGTGTAATGGCAATATTGTTTTAAGAACAACTTTGAGTGACTAAGTCATTTTGACTCTTATAAAATACTCAAATTAACTGCAAAGGACATAGAAAGGGAGATATTCTCTGCATCCAGAGAAAGAACTGATAAATAGAAGTATGTATAGAATAACTTTACATATATATGTGTAAATATATATATATATATATTTGTGTCTAATAGTAACCATCTTGAAGGAGGGTGGCTGGGTAGGGAAGGATAAAAGAAAAGAAAGAAATTTACATAATAACATCATTAAATATTTAAAAGGAATAGTAAGTTGCACATTATCAATTTGTAGTTTCATGGCCAATCATTTTTTAAAAATTATACTATGTTATGGAAATGCTTGTTTTATCTAATAAATTAAAAATAAAAATAAAAAATAAATTAGAGGGATAACATCTCCATAATTTGGATCATTGTACCCACTGAATATCTGGGGGAAATTTAGGAAAAGCTGTTTTATTAACAAAGGCAGTGATGCCCATAAGGTACAGACTGCCACATGCAGCAGACTAGAGGTAGAGTTGTTGAGGCTGGCTCTGGGAATGAGAAGGAAAAAAAAAAACTATCAGAGGGTCTGCAGGAGGGAAGGCTCAGGGTCAGCTATTATCCTTGCCTTAAAAGATCCACAAGTTGTTTGGGAAGAAAGGTGATAGGGATCCTTGCCAATATAGTTAAAATTTTAAAAGGAGATTGTTGTTAAATTCTCTAGAACTTTACTTTAAGAGGCAGCAAAATGTCATGGAAAGAGGATTGAGAGTCAGAGGATCTGAATTCTATTCTTTGAGAGCAGGATTGTAAGACTGAATGGGATCAAATAAGGTGAAAAGAAGAAAGTGGATTAGCATACTTGCTGGTAGCAGCTTTGACTTCCCAGACTGTAGATCAGGCCTGCATGAAGAATACAGGCAACCAGCGGCATTCTCCATCATTTGAATGGACCAGTGGGATGCAGTCTGTCTCAGTAAGGAAGTTGGTCTGGAAAGTTCCTACTTGCAGGTGTCGGGTATAGCATTTATGGGGCTGATTACAGCATTTATAGGATAGATTACAGCTAGAGTGTAGTGTGCACAGATTCAACCTGAGCAAGAAAAAGACACGCAGTGGAATGAAGTGAGACGATTCAGTCACACTAATAAATCTCTAAGGCCCCTTCTAGCTCTATATCTGTGATCCGATGAAGTTGCTATCCCTTGATTTCACTTTCTAATATCTTCCCGATTTTCCTATACTTATTGCCATATTAGTAAACTCTAAACATTTCTGATTGTTCACCGTTAGTAAAATAAATAAATAAATAAATAAAATTGAGCACATGTCAGCAGTATGGGTATATTATTTGTAAATAATATGGAGTTACCATTATTCAAATGACTATGTATATCATAAAACTTATACAAAAGTAGAACGTAAAAAATGATGATAAAGATGAAATAATATTTGTTCCAGCTGCTATGTGGAGAATGGATTGGAGAAGGGGAAGACAAGTAGGGAGACCCATGAGAAGGCTATTGTAGTAGTTAAGGTCAGAATTAATAATAATTAATTAATAATGAGGACCTGAATTAGAGTAGTGGCTATTTAAATAGAGAGAAGGGGACAGATTAATCAAGCAACAAGCATTTACTAGATGTAACTACATGCCAGGCACTATGCTAGCTGTTGGTGATACAAATACAAAAAATGAAAAATCCCTCCTCTCAAAGAATTTACAATGGAGGAAATGAGTACCTATATAAGTATATGCAGAATAAGTTTAAAGAACAGATGTAAGAGACAACTTTTGAGATGAGGGAAAGTGAGGAATCAAGAACGGTACTGAAGTAACGAATTTGAGAAAGAACAGTGGCTTCTTTAACAGAAATAGGGAAGTTTGGAAAAGGGGTGGGTTTTATTGTTGCACAGTCATTTCAGTTGTGTCTGATTCTTTGTGACCCCATTTAGGGTTTTCTTGACAAAGATGCTGGAATGGTTTGCCATTTCCTTTTCTAGCTAATTTTACAGATGAAGAAACTGAGGCATATGGGATTAAGTATCTTGCCCAGGGTCACACAGCTAGTAAGTGTCTGAGGTTGGATTTGAACTCAGGAAGATGAGTCTTCCTGATTTCAGGCACTCTATCCACTGTGCCACCTAGCTGCCCACCTAGTTGGGTTTAGGGAGAAAGATAAGTTTAAGCCAGGAAGATTTGAGTTCAAATTTAGCCTCAGGTCACAAGCTATGTGATCTTGGGTAAGTCACTTAACCTCTGCCTCAGTTTCCTTAACTATAAAATAAAGGTAATAGCACCTACCTCTCAAGGTTGTTTCAAAGATCAAATGAGATATTTTTAAAGCGCTTAGCATAGTGCCTGGCACAAAGGGGGTACTATATAAATTACTACAATTACGACTACAACTACGGCTACTCTTATTTTGGACATATTGCATTTGAGATGTCTCTGGGATGTCCTGTTTGAAATGTGCAGTAGGTAGCTGCTGATATGGGATTGAAACTCAAGGGAGAGATTAAGCCTGGATCCAGACCACAATCCATCCATGTCTGCTTATCCTGTTTGACTCACTTGAAACCATCCAAAATGAAAATTGGGGAGTTGAGACTTTTATGCATTGGTAGTTCACTGCCTCCAAGTGCAGACCCCATCCTCTGGAGGGAACCAACCATAACTATAAGGTAATCTGGGGTGGGAGATAGGGATATAATTTTTATAACTGAATGTATGTCCCGAGGACATGCTTGCATATCACAGGAAGGGTGGGACTTCTGGACCTCCATTAATCAACCCATCCTCGCAAAACTGAGGTCTCCCTAGAATAATGCTGTAGTCCCCACTTTGGAGACCATTGATCTAACAGCAGGGATTTGTGAACTTTTTTATATGTTGATAACTGTATTTAAATATAATTAATTTTCTTTATAATCCCATTTATTTTATTTTTTGCTTTTAAAAATATTAGCCTGAGAAAGGGTCTTCAGGCTTCACCAGACTGCCAAAGGGCTCTATGACCTGAAAGGAGTTAAGCGGGGTCTCTGATATCTGGTTGGGGCCTATCAAGAATAAGATGAAAAAAAGGGATAAGATGCAGGTATGCTTACCACTCAACCCCTCTGGGTAACTCACTTCCTTCTGATTTCAGACTATTTGGTAAATTGAGCTTGCTTTAGGTCTACCTCCAAAACTCTCTGTGCAATGGTACCTGCAAGCTTCTGGCCATCTTCTTTTGCAGCCTGAACTGAATGGATGATCTTACTGGTGTTTCCTTTTGGTTTTATTAATCATTTCTTCCTCTAGAACCCTTTAAACATCCTTTGCTGGGGTGTTTTTCAGGGATATACAATGTAGCCATCTTAATCAGAAATTCCCCAGCCTTGCTTTTTAGTCTTCTTTTCCATTAGTCCCCTGCACACATGAGTCATTACAATGCTAGTGACCAACTTTCTATTCACCACAAGTGATACTATTCTGCCTCTCACCCTCAGGAACTTTGCACATACTGACTTACCCCATGCCAGAATGTTCTTCTTTAACGCTGCCATTTGGAATAGTTGTGATGCAAGTGCCCTCCACTGCACAAGACCTTTCCCAAATCCCGAATTGCTAGCAGTTTCTTATCACCAAAATTACTTTTTATTGTGCATATTTTAAAATATGTACCATATGGAATCAGTACCCATGGTGTCAGGGATCTCAGGCCTGTACCACCCCAAACAACCCCGTCCCTGTATTTCTAACTCTATCCTGAGACAGAGTAAAACCTATAAATTTCTTTTTGACAAATTCTTAATAAAAAAAGAATGTTCTCTACAATCTGTCCATATCTTCACAGAATCACAAACTTTCATAGGTAGAAATGAACTCAGAGGCCATTAAGTTAAACTTCTACCTAATTATTAAGCCTCCACAGTACTTCCAACAAGTAGTCATCTAATGTCCCCTAGAAGAGCTTTTCCAAAGGTGAATTCCTATACTCCCTGGTGAGCCATTCTATGTCCATATAGTGTTCATTACAGTACTAGAATGTTTTTATTTTTTTAACTTATTTTTAGTTTTCAACATTCACTTTTATAAGATTTTGAGTTCTAAATTTTCCTCCTTCCCTGCCTCCTGCCTCCCCAGCACAGCAAGCAATCTGATATAGGCAATACATGTGTAATCATATTAAACATATTTCCATATTATTCATGTTGTGAAAGAAGAATCAGAAAAAAAACACAAGAAAGGGGAGAGAGAGAGAGAGAGAGAGAGAGAGAGAAAATAGAATGCTTCAATCTGCCTTCAGACTCCATAGTTCTTTCTCTGGATGTCAATAGCATTTTCCGTAATGAGTCTTTTGGAGATTGCTTAGATCATTGCATTGTTGAGAAGAGCTAAGTCTATCAAAGTTGGTCATCACCCAGTGTTGTTGTTACTGTGTACAGTATTCTGCTGGTTCTGCTCATTTCATTCAGCATCAGTTCATGTAAGTCTTTCCATGGTTTTTCTTGCTTTGTTTTGTTTTGTTTTTGGCTAGGCAATGGGGTTAAGTGACTTGCCCAGGGTCACACAGGTAGTGTTATGTGTCTGAGGCTGGATTTGAACTCAGGTCCTCCTGAATCCAGGGCCGGTGCTCTATCCACTGCGCCACCTAGCTGCCCCCTCCATGTTTTTTCTGAAATCTGCCTGCTCATCATTTCTCATGGAACAATAATATTCCATTACATTCATATATCACAACTTGTTCAGCCATTCCCCAATTGATGGGCATTCCCTTAATTTCCAATTTTTTGTCACCATAAAAAGAGCTGCTATAAATATTGTTGTACATGTGAGTCCTTTCCCCTTTTTTATGATCTCTTTGGGATACAGATCTAGTAGTGGTATTGCTGTAGAAGGTTTTTCTGACATGAATCCTCACTCTACCTTTCTATATCTTCCACCCCATTACTCTTCACTACTATAAGGTGAAGCAAATCAAGTATAATCCATATGATAGTGATTCAAATATTTAAACAATTATATCTCATCTAAATCTTCTCTATTTTAGGCTAAAGAACCTCCATGTCTTCAACTGATCCAAAGTTTCTCCAACCTGGACCATCCTCTAAAATGTAGCACCCAGAAGTCAACACAATATGTCAGGTGTGGTCTCACCTGGGCAAAGTATAGCAGGACTAAGTAATAACAATGAAATTAATAATAAGAAGAAGAATACAACTAATTTACTAACATTTCCCTCATTCTGGGCACTGTGCCTCTCTTAATTACAGCCTTAAACTGGTTTAACTTTTTTGTCTACCCTACCACACCATTAACTCCTATTGAGCTTATATTCAATTAATGTTTTTTCTCAGCTCTTTTTCACATAATGTATGTGAAATCTATACTTTCAAGTATGTTCTCAGTTGCATTATTTAAATCTCGATTACATGATCATAGAGCAAGGGAGCCCAACTTTTAAAAATGCTTTATTGTCTTTACTTTAGTCATTTTAACTTTCTCCTCTCCAGACTTAACCTCATCCTTGAAAAAAGAAAATCAATTATGCAAAAAAACCTGATAGAGTGATTGGATATGACAATGTATATAATTTGGGGAACTGAAACATTTTGACCAAATTTGGATCTGCACCATGTACTCAATAAGTATTCCACAAATTCTTACTGTAAAGTTGAACTGTTCCATCAGTTCTAAAAGGAGCAACATCTGCCTCATGGAGGATAGGCTAATTTTACCCTAAAATGCAAGGAAATTGTCCTCAAGGGCATAAGACTAAGATTGCATTGTTGGTTTTCCTCATCTTCTAAGTATAAAAGCCCTCCCTTTGAGGAATCAAGTTTCCTCAGGATTGACACATCCTTATAACTGGGCACACCACTGTGGCAAATATAGAGGTTCCCACCTGAATCAATGCTACATCCTTTCCATTCTATTGTTAAGCAAACTTCTTTTTGTAAAATGTTGGGTGGTCTATGAGGGTCTCATTTGATTCCAGTCCAAAGCCTAAACTATGATGTCAGGCAAATCCCAGAACATCAAATCACATAGGGAGAAAGAGACAGAATCAGGATTCAGATCTAGCTTCTCTAACAATGAAACAAATGCTTTTTTTTCTTTTACTAACTAGACCTTTTCCCCAGGGAAGTAATGATGGGGTAGTGTAAAGGGAACTTTTAAAGATTATACTGGGAGCAGAGACATAACTATGGTAGAGTTCTACCCAAGAGCATCAAAATTCAGAGGGACCTCTGAAAAGCATTTGCAGGTCTTCAGTGTCTACTTAGCAAGAATAATTGCATAAAATAGGAAGCTGCCAGATGGCACACAGCAGCTGTACCTCAGATGGATTCTTTGCTGGCCCACTATTAATCCCTAAAGGTTTGAAGGTGCATTTCATGGTGCCCCAGGTACAATAATGGCTGGTTGCAACTCTGGCTAGGCATTATCATTTCTCTTTCATTCAATGACTCCTAGTATTTAACTACAAAGAAATAGATGCTCCTCTCTCCTGGGGGGTGCCATTAAAAGCAATTTGCTTAAAGAAAGGCTTTCCCCACCCTCGGTCCATCTTGATGAAAAATATTCAGAGACAACCACAAAGATAACAGGGCATGATCCTCACCCCTATTTTCTTTGTCACTGTAAGGAATAAGGAATGAAAATAGTCTGAGAGTTAAATAAGAGCAAACAGACCTTGCCTTTTGATTGTTGAATGTTTCCTGGATACCTACAGTGTGCCAGGTGCTCCCAATTAGGCTGCCATATTTTTCTCCTATTATTTTGCTGCCCAGAGAGAACAGGTGGAGCATAAAGCATACTGTGATCAGTACTCCATCTCGGAGGCATTTAAGCTTCCATCCCATTGACAGCAGAAATCTATGAGCTGACCTGTATCACCCAGTACTACATATGGATCTGTCATCATAAATAACCAGAGATTTCAGAGGAACCCTTTAAACATATGCACAAAAGCACAGGTCTGCTCGCGCAAGAATAATTACAGGTTTGACAAACTCCACACAGACAGATTTCTACTGTGTGTTATTCTTTTTTTGTTTTGCTTAAAAAAAAAAAGCAAACAAATCCAGCTCCAAGCTTGCAAAGGTGACTTCATCCAAAAATAAATGGCTTAATTTTTATTTCAGGAGGTAATGAAAATAAACAAAGCATCAATGACCAAGAGGGCCAGATACCATTTCAGGCCAGGTGGCCTAACTCCAACTCCCTGTGTTGCTAGAGAATGTGTCCTGGATTTCTCTACCTAACCCCAGCACATGGATATGAACCATTGAATATCACGCCAATTCTTGAAGGTTGAAAAGAAATCTCTTGTTCAAAGGTATGATCAAATATTGATTTAACCTGCGAGAGTGTGTCTCTTTATCCTTTGGTCAATTATTTTAGGATTAAGAGCCGGAAAAGATCTGACAGGTTACCAAATAGTAGAAAGAGCGTGGGATTTGTAATCAGATGACACAGGTTCAAAATCCCAGCTCTGTCACTTATCTGTTTGCTCTTGGAAAAGTCACTTAATCTTCCTGGGCCTCAGTTTCCTCATCTGTAAAATGAGGCAATTGAATTAAATGCCCTTTCAGGTTTCTTCTGTGATCAAATTTCAAACACCTCATTTTGCAGATGGAGAAACAGTTGAAAGTGGTTGAGTGATAGACCCAAAGTATACTTTCCATTGCATCAGGCCTTCTCTTCTTTCTTTTTTTCTTCCTTCCTTCCTTCCCCCCCCCCTCCCTCCCTCCCTTCCTTTCTTTCCCAGACAGGTGATTTCATCAGTATATGGAACTCCCCTCACTGATGCAGATCTGCAACTTCTCTGCAAATTAAGTTCTTACACAGTTAGTTGCGTAAGGCACTGAGAGGTTAATTGATTGCCCGTGGTCATAGAGCCAGTCTGTGTCAGAGCCACACTGCACTTTCAATAGACAAAAGAAAATCAATACCCCCATGTAGAGGAAAAAGGTCAGAATAACTTCTGAAAGAAACTGTACTTTGCCTCAGGCACTTGCAGTGTTTTCTAAGCAATCAGTACCACACTGATTCTTTTCCTAAAGCCAAATCTTCCCAAATCTGGGCTTCTTCTCCCAATGGATTCCTGGCGAATTTCTTTTCACTCTCCCTGCAATCTAGAGAGAGCAGGGCTTTGGTCGGAAAGTAAGATCATAGATCTGGAGCTGGAGTCCCGCAAGACCAACTTCCTCATTTTGCACATGAGGAAACTGAGGACCAAAGAAGCTTAGTAACTTGTTCAAGGTCACAAGGTAGTAAGGAGCAGAGGTTGAAATATAGAGTCAGGTCTTGTAAATGGGGATAGGATAGGGATAGTGACTAGGCCCATGATTTCATAGGTATAAGGAACTCTCAGTGAAGAAACCTTCCTCTACCAATGTAAATCAGCACCTTCTCTGCAATTTATACTTTTAGAGGGTTGCCTAGAGCACTGGAGAAGTTAAGGCACTTGTCTAGGGTCACCCAACCAGTATGTGATAGTGTAAGACTTGAACCCTCTCAGAGATGAGCATTTCCTAGAGATGGGCATGCCCCTCAGACATCCCCTGGCTCTGGCCCCTGCTTGACCGGAGAGTTCCCTTACTGATCTAGTCAAGAGCAGGGAGGCATCTACACACAGAATATTTATTTCAGAGCTTCTCTTCTTTAGAACTTCTTCTGAAAATCAAATTAAGGGAAGTGTCAAGCAGAGTTGTGTGCATGAAATAGTGGGAAGGAAGCTGGACTTGGAGTCTGAAGAGACTATCTCTGTGACCCTGGGGAAAACACTTAAAATCTCTGGTGCTTGGCTTTTCTCATTTATAAAAAAGGGAGAACTGATCAATAGAAGTATGCATGGAATAATTTTACATATATATATACATGCATTATACACACACACACATATATATACACACCTATTTGTAGGATGGGGGGTAGAAAAATGAAAAAAAGAAATTTACATGATAACTTTGTTGTATATTTGTAGGAAATAGCAAGTTGTACATGGTAGATTTGCAGTTTCGTGTGCAATCATCTTTTTATTGTACTGTGTTATGGAGATGCTTGTTTTGTTCTGTGAATTGAAAATAAAATAAAATTTTAAAGGGGGGGGTTATAATACTTGCATGGGCTGATGTGAGGAAAGTGCTTTGTAAATGGCAAAGCACTATATACGTGTGAATTAGAATTATTATGATTATTTAAAACACCTTGGAGGCAGCTTGACATAATAGCATGGGTTGCTGAGCTTGGAGTCAGCAAGACCTGGGCTCAAATACTCCTCAGATACTTACTAGCTGTCCTGTGACCCTGGGCAAGTTGCCTAACCTCTGTTTGCCACATCCAACTCCCAAGGATTTATCTGCTAAATCGTAGATGGGTTGCTACCTGAGTTCTGAGAATTCTCTATTCTTCTTGTTATGAGAATCCCAGCAGATAGGAAGGTGACCTTGGAACCAGGAAGAAGAGAAGTCAAATCTCTCCTCTGATATATACTGACTGTGTGGACCTTTGTGAGACACCTAACCTCTATGTGATTTTCTAAAATTCTCCAAGACAGAAAAGATGCCCACCTGCAGTGGTAGAGGGAGTTTTCTCACCTAGAAGTTCCCCTAAATCAATGAAACAACAGACCCAGCCCCTAGGGGTAGAAAGGAACTTAAAAGAATTTAGACTTGGTGTTCAACCCTCTCTCTCCATTTTGTGGACAAGGAAACTGAGGCACAGAGAGGTTTAAGCGATTTGCCCAGGGTCACAGAGCTAGAAGTATCTATGGCAAGATTTGAATCAAGGTCTTCCTGTCTCCAAATACAGTACCTTTGAGGCAGTTTGGTGTTTCAGTGGACATAGAGCTGAGAGTTCAAATCCAGTTTCAGACATTTACAAATTGTATGATCCTGGGGAAGTCTTTTAACCATTATTTACCTCAATTTCCTCAACTGTAAAATGAAGATAAAAGTAGCAACTACTTCCCAGGGTTGTTGTGAGGATCATATGAGATAATATTTATAAAGCACTTAGTATAGTGAATGGTACATAGTACATAGTAGGTACTTAATACAGCTTTCCTTCTCTCCTTTTCCTTCCTTCCTTCCTTTTTTCTTTCTTCTTTCCTTCCTTCCTTCCTTCCTTCCTTCCTTCCTTCCTTCTTTCCTTCCTTCCTTCTTTCCTTCCTTCATTTCTTCTTTCCTTTTTTCCTTCATTCCTTCCTTCCTCTACTACTTCATACTGTGGTATGTGTATCTACTCTATCAAGGCTTATCACAGCCCCTTCACCAAATTTGTAGGCAAGACAATCCATCATCATGAGTTGCTTTGGCCAAAATAATTTATCACCTGGTAGCCAGTTTTCTGGGAATGAGCCACTCCAAACAAGAACTAAACCAGTCTTTGGATGACAAATACAATCTGCTCCAGACTGTCCACAAAGCCTTTCCAATTCATTAGGACCTGCCAGCCCTTGAGCTCCTTTGGGAAGATGGAAGCATTTCTGTGCCAGGATGAAATATCCAAGGAAGACTTTAGTGGAGGAAATTTTTGAACAGAATATAACTGGTTTTCCTTGTCTTTTTCTAAGTGCATTGTTTCTATGTTGACTGTTACACCTCTTAATTATTTCTGATTCTGTAGTATGATGTGTATTTGTGAATTTGTGTCTTAAATATATGAAAAGACTAATGAGAGAAACCAGGTTCAACTTGTGTCCTTTTGTGATTATTGTAATTTTTATATCATTTGATGTTATAGTTATAATGATAAGAGTCCTCTATAGGGTCACTTAGGCTAAGCGATCCTAATGCCCATAAAGCATATAGGCAAAGAAAATTGTCCATTGTTCTGACCTATATTAACTATGTGTCAAGCAGTTAATACTCACAGTCACAGCTTCTGATTGGATAAAACTCCTAGCTAACTGCAGTGGTCTGACTCACTCTTCTCTTCTGTTGCCCCAGATGGTCAACTCAAACTGTCTCCCAATTTCTGGTCCTAATAAAGAAACTCCCTAACCCACGCTTTACCCAAGCCTGATATTGATAAGTGACCCCAAGAACTTTTCTACCACATCTGGGTCTGATTAGAAATGCCCCCTCCTACATCTTGTACTAATTACCTGTTCTCCACCAAGCTTATTTTTAGGTTATTCAGCCTAAAAATTCTGTACTTGAACCCAAACTTTGAGCCTTTTCTCTCCCTGACACATCGCCCTTCCCCTCACATCAAGTTGGTTTCTTATATCTATGAGGATGAACCTCTTGCTTGTTTATATTGCCATATAGAGTGTGTATATGCTTTTTTTTGGCCTGCTTGCTATGCTGCATAATAATAAATTTCTTGTTTGCACCAGCTTCCCAATTTTGATTTCCTATAAGTTCCAGAACCTAAGTCTTTATTTTGACCCAAACCATGAGGCCAAATAAAGCACTTTCACATCGATGAAAAACTACAAACAAATTCATAGATTACCTTTATAATTATGTTTCCCTTTTTTAGAGCTATGAATTATTGTGAATCAAACATAAATCTCCATTAGTTTCCACATGCAAGGATGGACTAACCTTGGCTCCAAGGTCTAAAAATAAAAGGCTTTTAAATTAAAACCACTCCAATGTTCCACCTCCCTACTGTCAGACTTGCAAAACAAAAAAAAAGGGAAAATTCCAAATGCTGGAGAGGCTGTGGGAAAATAGGCATATTAATACATTGTTGGAGAACAGTTTGGAATTATGCCCCCCAAAGTTATTAATATGTGTATCTTTCAACCTAGCAATACTGCTATAAGTTCTATACCACAAAGAGATCAAAGGAAGATGGAAAGGTCCTATATGTACAAAAATATTTAGAACAGCTCTTTCTGTCATGGTGAAGAATTGAATACTGATAGGGATGCCCATCAGTTGGGAAATGACTAAACAAGTTGTGATGGAATACTACTGTGCTGTAAGAAATGATGAGTTCAGCAATCTTAGAAAAACATCAAAAGACTTGCATGAAATCATGAAGAGTGAAATGAGCAGAACCAAGAGAACACTATATACAGTAACAGCAATATTGTTTGAAGAATAACTGTGAATGACTAAGTTATTCTGAGTATTATAAATACTCAAATCAACTACAATGGACCTATGAAGGAAGATATTATCCATTTCTAGAGAAAGAACTAATAAATAGAAGTATGCACAGTATGGTTTTACATACATATATATACATATATCTATATCTATCTACCTATACATCTATACTCTCTCTCTCTGTCTCTTTCTCTGTCAAATGGTGGCCTTCTCTAGTGCAGGGTAGGGATGAAAGGAGGGAGACAGTTCAGAACTTAAAATGTAACAAAAAAATTAAATTTTGAAAAGATGAAATAAAACGTTACCCACCTCCTGATAGAGTGGTGATGAATTCAGAGTGCTGAAACTTTTTTTGAGGGGGGACAGGGAACATGGAAATTTATTTTGCTTGACAATATATGTAGGATATTTTCCCCCTTGATTTCCCAGTGAAAAGGGGTGGAAGGGAGGGAGAAAAGGTGAGTTTTCATTTTCAAAAAAAAATGATAAATTAAAAATGTAAGACTTGTTAAATCCATTCTTAGGGAATGCAAATATTCATTTATTAACAGTTCCTAATAGCCTGGCAATGAGGCACAACCTGTTAGGTAAGCCAAATAAGCATACTACTTTTTTTTGACTTGGAGCATAATAACAAGTATAATTAAGGAACTATTCTGTTAGAATCTTTAACCAGCATTTGTTTTTAACTCTGACAAAAACACTTATGCATGTCATCAAAGGCAAATCACTTCATCTCTCTGGGTCTCAGTTTCATCTATGGAAAATCAGAGGGTTGGGTTACATGATTGCTAATGTCCCTTATAAAATTTGCAGATGATTCAAAATGATAGCCCATTGGAAAACAAAATAAAGATCCCAAGCAATCTTAACAGAAGAGAGTGATGATCTAAGCAGATGAAAATTTAAAATTACCATTGTCTTATATTTTTTGCACTACAGTAATTTACCCTTACACCTCCTCCCCTTTAGATTCAGCTTGCAGAACGTATGGCCCGTGGGCCATTTGCTGCCTGCCAAAGGATTTTGGTTGGCTGTCAACCAACCGTTGTCAGTATGTACAGTTTCAGTTTCTTCATCTGTAAAATGGCCAGGTTAGATTCAATGATTTCTAAAATCCCTATTAGTTGTAAACCTTATGCTGATCTTTAATCACAGATCCCATTTAGAACCCAGCAAGAACTCACTTCAATTCAACAAATATTATTAAGCACTTATTCTGCTTAATAATACTACACTACATAGTAGGTACTTTAAAAAATACTTATTGGGGCAGCTAGGTGGTGCAGTGGATAGAGTACTGGCCCTGGAGTAAGGAGGACCTGAGTTCAAATCTGGCCTTAGACACTTAACACTGACTAGCTATGTGACCCTGGGCAAGTCACTTAACCCTAATTACCTCACCCCACAAAAAATAAAATAAAAATGCTTATTGACTTCAGGGCACTATGCAAGGTTCTGAGAAATATGAAGAAATGACAGTCCCTGTCATCAAAGAACTTAAGACCTATTGGGAAGATATAATATATACACAGGTAAGAAATTCATCTTTTAGTATTTTATTTGCCAAATTTTGGCAATAATATTTTTCATAATGTACCCTTCTTTCAAGTTGCTTAGAAATTTGGGAAATAGTGGGCACAAAATTGTTGATGTCCACATGGCTAGCCTTACCATCTTCAGAAGCATTATAGACATAGAATGTATAAAAAGCTATTTCAATTAGCTGCCAACTTACTTTGTTTCAGCAGGATTTATGCCCATTTGTTATGTCACTTTTCCATTTAAAAAAAATCTATGCTCCATATTTTTAGGGCAACCTTCAGTAACCCTTTTCTGGCTCTGTGCTGTCTGAGAGGAAGGGAAGTGAGTCAGCACAGCCCATGCTGAGTACACATTGGGCCACCGATAGATGTTACAGTTAAGTCCTTGACTCACAAACAACCTTCCCAAACCTCAGCCTTCCCAAACAAGACAGAATAAAAGTGACCAGGACAAGGGATGGTGTTTGCAGGTGAAGGAAGGCAGTAACCCTCCGGTTACTGGCAGGCTTCATGATTTGGCTTCTGTTAACATATGGGCTGTACAGCTGCCAATCCCTGCTGTAAAATAAATTTATAGTGCAACCCTAGCTGGGCCCTTGCTGCTTGATAATCCTACTCATTCCTGACAGGAACTGTGCCAAACCTTTTCCATTCTCCATAAGGTTTCTACTCCATGGGCTCCATTCCCATTCCCATACACTTACAGGAAGATTTGACCTTTTTCATTGAGAAGATTGAAATCCTATGACTTAAATTCCTTCATTGGTTGGTTTGCCATTATTTCTTGGTATTGCCATCCAATCTCTCCTCTTTCTCTGAGACCAAAGGAATATCCCTGCTCCTCACAAAGGATAATCCTTTTCTCTGTCCTTTAGAGCCCATTTCTTCTCACCATTTCCAGTTCTACCAACCATCATGATCCTCTGGCTCCATCTCATCTGCCTACAACCCATGATCAGGTCTCCCCCATCCTAATAAAATAAAACAAAACAGAACAACAACAACAAAAAAAACAACCTTTCCTTGACCCTTCTAATCCATCCAGCTGCTGCCCTCACTCTCCTTTACTTCAATGATAAACTTCCTGAAAATAATGTCTACATCCGAGGTTCACTTCCTTACCACCCATTCTTTCCTTCCTCCTGCCTTCCTCCCCATCACTTGCAAAAAGTGACCTCCTAATGATGAAATGTAATGGTCTTTTTTCAGTTCTCATTCTCCTTTACTTCTCTATAGTATTTGATTCAATAGATGGACATTTTGTACATTTTTTGTTTATATTAAAATGAGAAAGTACTATATTGTATGGTAGTGGAATGAACATTGCATTGAAAGACAAAGGATTTGGTCTCAGATTCTCGCTCTTTTCTTAACTACCTGTTTGACACTGGACAAATCACCTAACTTCTCTGGGTCTTAATTTCTTCATCTGTAAATAAAGGGTCCCAATAAAAAAGTCCCAGGGAAAAAGGTCTTGACCACTACATCACAGTAGTCACAGGAGGAACTAAAAAAATCATAGATAGAAATACAATAAATCAAGATAATTAGGGGCAATTTTTCAGTCTCTGGAAAGGGTCTTTCTTACTCTCTCACTCCAAACTGTTCCAGAAACAAAGGCCAGATACCAGACCTATTATAGTGTCAGGTCAATAATTTCTCCCATTGTTTTTCTATAGTCTTCCTCCTGGTCTACTTTTGGAAAACAAATAAAATTGTGGCAAGTTCTCCTTTATCTGAAGATAGCAATGTTTGCTCTCTCTTCCTTTTGCTCCACACTTTGAAAGAGAGTGACAAACTGGAATGGTCCTCATTTAAAAAAAAAACTGTTGCAATGAAAATGGCTGATATTTATATAGAGCTTTAAGGTTTGGAAAACATTTTGCATCCATTATCTCATATAATGCTCACTAGGTTGTTGCGAATATCTAATGATGTAGGAATAATCCCTTATTTTAGAGAAGAGTAAACTGAGGCTAAGAGAGATTAAGTAATTTGCCTATAACTGCACAGTTAATTATCTGAGGTAGGCTTTGAACTTTGTCTTTCATGGCTCAAGGTCTAGCACAATTTTTACTAGAACTACCCACTGACAATTTATAATTTATAGTGTCATTTCTAAATCTCTAAAAAAATCTCCATCATCTTCCAGTTATAGATAAGTAGAAATCACAATTTCCATTTTAAAAAAAAAAGCATTCAGGAAAATTGGTTATGAAACTATTAATTTACAGAATATCACACATGTGAGCATATTCCTAACATATTTTCATTCCAGCAAAAAACATCTCTTTTAATCTTCCAGTCCCTCTGTTAGACAGGAGTAAGCCTGGCCTTGATTGGACAAGATCTTAAATACATGTCAGACTAATTCTGGCTTTTTCATTTTTTCCCCCAGTGCTTTCTGAAAACAGAAAGCCTCTTTCCCCACTTTGTTTTCTTTACTGGGCAGTTCCTGGGACCCACACAGCCCTCCCTTTGACTTGCACATATGTAGAATAGTTACCCTTCAAATACGTTCTTTGCATCTAACCTGGTTACTGGGGGCCAGTTACAGTCTTTGGCTAGAGATCAGGTTACTCATTTGATAGGTATAAAAGCATGTTTGTTTCTGAGCAAGTCTAAAGGACAGATTAGGTTTTTAAAGTGGGAAAAAACAAAACATAACAAAATGTTCAACCCTGGAACGTGTTATTTAACTTCCATAAAAATCTTTTAGTCTGCCTCCAGCTTAGTTTTTTATACCAGATAGATTACTGAAACTCAAATGTCAACATTTAGTTAACCCTAAAGCTATTCTGTAAACCAACAAAAACCAGGAAATTCCCCAATCTCTCTCTTTCTTCCTCTCCACCACCCTGATGGGCACTTTGCTTTTAAATCAGATTTTGCTTTCAGATTGGGCACAATCATTCATTTTGACTACTACCCTTTCAAAACAAAAACCATTACGCGAGGAAGACTTATAGATCAAGTACTTTCCTTTGGGTACCCAGGTGAGGTTGGCAGAAATTCTTCTAAACCCCACTGCCTCAAGTGTTTTGCTCTATGGTGTTAATGGTACTTATATTTTTATGATGTTTTTTGCTTTGCAGATTGACTCCTTCATAACAACCTTGTGAGATAGTTTTCCAAGCATTGCCATCTCTGCTTTGGAGAGGAGGATACTGAGATTCAGACTGGTTAATTCATGTGCAGGGGGTAAATGAACATGCATGCTGTGAGAGTTGAGAATGTTGGAGGATGAGATTCTTACTACGTTCTCAAGGCACCCAGTTGGGGAAATTTCTACAACAGTGACTTGCTCTACATCACATTCATCTCTCTCTCTCTCTCTCCCTCTCTCTCTCTCTCTCTCTCTCACACACACACACACACACACACACACACACACACACACACAACTCTAATGGCAGAGCTAGGTTTACAGAGTCAGAAATCAGATTTCCCATCCCATCTGATTTGATCCACACAACAATCCTGTGAGGTCCTCATTGCTATTATTCCCATTTTAAAGGTGAAGAAATTGAGGCTGAGAGGGTAAGTGACTTGCATAGGGTCACCCAGTAAATGTATGAAGCAAGATATAAACTCAGATCTTCAGAATTCTAAGTCTCATGATGCCATATTGCTTCTTATTTTGCTCTATGATCTCTCACTTGGTGATCTCATTAGTTCCCATGGGATCAATGATCATCTCTATGCAGATGATTCCCAGATCTATATATCCAGGCTTAATTTCCCTCCCAAGCTTCAGTCTCATATCACCAACTACCATTTGGATATTTTGAACTAGACCTAGGTGGCAAATTTCATTGTTGTCTCATTTTTAAAAATTGCCACAGCCACTTCAATCTGTATCAATCACACCTTGATCAGTCAGCAGCCATCAGCGTTGAGGTAAGATCCTCCACCAGCAAAAAGATTATGACTTGCTGAAGGCTCAGTTGATGCTTAGAACTTTTTTTCATTTACTGGTACTTTATTTTTTCTAATTACAAGAAAAGATAGTTTTCAACATTCACTTTTATAAGATTTTGAGCTCCCAATTTTTTCTCCCTCTCTCCTTCCCTTTCTCCTCCCTCCCCAAGACAGTGAGCAATCTGATGTAGGTTATGCATGTACAATCATATTAAACATATTTTCACATTAGTCATGTTGTGAAAGAAGAATCGGAACAAAAGGGAAAAAATGATGAGAAAGAAAAACAACAAAAAAGTATACTTCAATCCTCATTCAGACTCCATAGTCCTTTCTCTGAGTGTGGATAGCATTTTCCATCATGAGTCTTTTGGAATTGTCTTCGATCATTGTGTGGCTGAGAATAGCTAAGTCATTCGTAGTTGATCATTGCACAATTTTGCTGTTCGTATGTACAATGTTCTTCTGGTTCTGTTCACTTCCCTCAGCATTAGTTCATGTATGTATTTCCATCTGCTCATCATTTCTTATGGCACAATAGTATTCTATTACATTCATCTACAACTTGTTCAGTCATTCCCCAATTGATGGGCATTCCCTCAATCTCCAATTCTTTGCCACCACAAAGAGCTGTTATAAATACATTTGTACATGTGGGTCCTTTCCCCTTTTTATGATCTCTTTGGGATACAGACCTAGTAGTGGAATTGGGTTAGCATTTTTTTTTAGCAATAAAGTATTTTTGAATTAAAGTATGTACATTTTTTAGACATAATACTATCGCACACTTAATAGAATACAATATAGAGTAAACATAACTTTTATATGCATTGGGAAACCAAAAAATCCATGTGACTTGCTTTTTTGTGGTAATGTTTTATTGTGGTAGTTTGGAACCAAACCTGCAATGTCACTGAGGTATGCATTATTCAAATCTCATTCTACATTCTCTCTACCAGTAGGAGGGTGGAATGTTTCATCTTCAGTCCCCTGGACTTAGAGTTTATTACTGCATTTATGAAAGTTCTAAAGTCCTTCTAAGTTGCTTTTCTTTATAATGTTATTACGTAAATTATTCTCTTGGTTTTACTGGTTTCACTCTTCATCACTTCATAAGTCTTCCTGGTGTCGTCTGAAACTTCTCATTTAATTTCGTATGTCACAATGACCTCATTACATTCATATGCCACAATTCATTTAGCAATAATATCCAATTACATTCATATACCACAATTTATTTGGTCATTCCTCAATAGGTAGGCACTCCTTTAGCTTCCAGTTTGGGACTACTATGAAAAGAGCTCATACCAATATTTTGTACCTCTTTTTTCTTTTATCCCTTTTGGATATAGGCCCAGTATCTGAATGGCTGTGTCAAAAAGTAAGTAAAGTTTAGTAATTTTTGGGTCATAGTTCCAAATTGCTTTTGAAAATGGCTGCATCAATTGTCAGCTTCACCAATTGTCTATAAGTAGATCAAGTTTTCCCACAGCCTCTCTAACATTTGCCATTTTCCTTTCCACCATTTTTGCCAATTTTATGGGTGTGAGGTAGAACTTCAGAGTTGCTTCAATTTTCATTTCTCTAATTATTAATGATTTGGAGCATTTCTTAAATGTGACTATAGCTTCAATTTTTTCCTGTGAAAATTGCATACTCATATACTTTGATCATTTATATGTTGGGAAATGGCTTTTATTCTCATAAATTCGAATCAGATTCTTATATATGTTGAACATGAGATATTTGCTTTTTCTAATAGCTTATATTTCCTTTCTAATTTTAACTACATTAGATTTGTCTATAAAAAATATTGTGATTTTTACATAATTAAAATTGTCCATTTTATCTTCTGTGATCTTTATCATTTTTTTCAGATTTGTACTCTTCTGCTATCCATAGTTCTGAAAGGTAATTTTTTTTGTTCTTCTAATTTGCTTATCATGTCACCTTTTGTTTCTAAATCATGTATACAGGGGTAGGTTAGTAAATGTTTAACATTTACTATCTTTGGGGGGTAGGGGAAGAAATGTGTCCATGACATAGTTTTAAATCTGCATTAACGTTTTCTCCATCATTTTCTTACATCTAGACAATCAACAAAACAATTAGTTAAGCCCTAATCTGTAACATTGGCCAATTTCCAAAGTGTAAATGTTCATACTGAAAATTTAAAAAAATTAGCTCTCACAAGCTGTTATGAGCTGACTCCAGCACACACATACATGTATCTATTTATAGTTCATCTTCGTATGTGGTATGAAACAGTCTAATTTCTATCAAACGGCTTTCTAGTTTTCCCAGCAATTTTTGTCAAATAAAGAGTCCTTACTTTGGTAACTGGGGTCTCTAGATTCAGTGCACACTTTACTAATGTCTTAATTTGCTTCCATATGCTGTGTATTTAATCTGTTCCACTGATCAACCTATCCATTTTTTAACCAGTATCAAATCATTTTAATGATTACTGCACTATAGTATAGTTTGAGATCTGGTACTGAGACCCTGTTCCTTCCTAATCTTAAAAATTACTACCCTTGAGATTCTTGACATTTTGTTCCTTCATATAAATTTCATTATTATTTTTTCTAGTTCAATAAAATAATCCTTTAGAAGTTTGATTGGTACATTACTGAACAAGTAAGTTAATTTAAGCAACACTGTCATTTTTGTTATTTTGACTTGAATTACCCATGAGAAATTAATGTTTCTCAAATTATGAGGACTGTCTTTATTGCAAAATGTATTTTATAGTTGGATACATATAAGTTCTGGATGTATCACAATAGCTTATTTCCAAATGTTTTATACCTTCTTTTACTATTTTGAGTAGAATTTCCCTTTCTAGCTACACCTACTGGCTTTTGTTAGTAATACACAGGAATGCTGATTTATTCAGATTTATTATATCTTCTGCAACTTTGCTGAATTTATTATTTTAATGATATTTTTGTTGATTCTTTAGAGTTTTCTAAATAAATTATCTTAACTGCAAAAGCACTAATTTTGTTTCTTCATTGCCTCTACTTATTCCTTTGATTTCTCTTTCTTGTCATATTACTATAGTTAATATTTCTAGGACTATTTTAAGTAGTGGTGGTGGTAATGAGCATGCTGGCTTTACCCCTGATTTTATTGGAAATGTCTCTAACTTTTCTCTATTACATATAAAGTTTGCTCTTGGTTTTAGATTAATATTATTTACTATAATAACAAGAGGTTCATTTATTCCTATGATTTCTAATGTTTTTTAAGAGAAACAGGTGTTAGATTTTTGTCAAAAGACTTTTTTAGCATCTAATGATAATTATGCTATTTTTATTATTTAATATTAACATGAGTTCAAGGGAGCCAGATGGAAGTCAGAGTAGTATCCATGTCTTGGACGTTCTTTCAGTTTTGAAGTTACTCCCTAAATACAAATCTAGCACCTTTGGAAATAACATAAATGTCTTCAGCATCAGTATTTATCATTTTATGATCCAAAAGGTGTGAGATTCTGTCTGTAACTGGGGTTAAATGATTTGTTTCTCATAAATGCTGAAACTCTTGGTATAAGTCTAGTCAACAAGCATTTCTTAACTACTTATGTGACAAAAAGGTTTGAGAGACATAGTTTCTGGGTAATTTAATAAAGTTATTAATAAGACCAGCAGGTTATTAATAAAAGGATGGTTATTTGGCTGTCTCTCTTAGACCAAAGATAATCATGGCAGCAGGCTCACAATTTATATGCCCTTTGAAGAATAGATGTTCAATGAGGGGCTGAGTGACATCATGTCACCCTTGGACAGAGAAACTATCTCTACCCAGACCACCCCCAGCCTTAGGCTATCTAGACAAAAAGATCTGTTTCCACAGAAGCTTGAGTAGAACAAAATGGGCTTCTCTTCCTTAGATTAAATTCTTATAAGGTTGGTCTGACCAAGATTGAGGAGAGTTAACTCAATATCATTATCAGTAATGTCCTTCAAGAGACTGAACTTTCAGGACTTTGGAAGAAGGGGAGAACTTTGAATCTCCCCCAAGATATTGGTTATTAATAATCATTTCTTTCACTTAAAATGTGCTAAGCACTGTTCTAAGGGCTAGAAATAGAAGGAAAGTCAAAAATAGTCCTTGCCTTCAAGAAGCTTACATTTTAATGGTGGAGATATCATGGTATAAATAATTAAGTATATACCAAGTGGATACAAAGTATATGAAAGGCAATCTCAGAAGAAGGCATTAGCAACTATGAAGGGACTTAGGTAAGATATGAATTGAGTCTTGAAGGAAGCCAGGGAAGCTAAGAGGTAGAGGTGAGGGGGGAAAACATTATAGGCATGGAGAACTACCAGTGCAATGGCAAGAAGATGAGAGATGGAGTGCCCTGTGCAAGGGACACCAAGGAGGTCAGTGTAGCTGGATCAAAAAGTTTGTTGATGGGACTATAAGAAGACTAGAAACATAGGAAGGGGTCAAGTTAAGAAGAGATTTCTATACTGAACAGAGGAAATTATATTTGATGCCAGAGGCAATAGGGATCTACGAGAAGTCATTGAGTAGAGGTATGGAATTGTCAGACCCACATTGTGGAAACATTATGTTGGAAGCTGAGTAGGACATGATTTGGAGGGGGAAAGAGGGAGAGACAAGTCAGGAAACAAGTTAGAAGGCTATTTCAATAGTCCAGGTGAGAGGTAGCGAGCGCTGTGTGAGTGCAGAGGGTAGGAGATATGCAAAGATAGAAACAAGATTTGACAAGTGCCTGGGTATGTGAGGTGGGTGAGAAGGTTGGTGGTGCCTTTGAGAGTAGCAGGGAAGTTGGGAGTTGTAGAAAAGTAGTGGCATTTTAAGACCTCAAGGAATCCGGAGCTACTTCAAATATCCTAGTAAAACTTAAAAATGCATTCCACCCAGTCCAGTGGTGTGTAAAGGGACCACTAAAATCCAGGAAGGGCCTTGGGGCAACCTGAGAGGGCCTCCACTGAATTCAGCAAGGACATGATCCCAACAGTGCCCAATATGGGAAGGACAACCTCTACACAATGATAGAAGAAGGGCTCTCCACTTCAACAAGAGTGATATTCTAAGCACTCCACTGGAGAGCTTTGGACTCTTTCAAGTGGAGCATATACCTTGATCTATGGACATATCTCACCTTCCACACACAGAAGGTGAATTTAATTTCATTCAACAAACACTTATTGTGTACAAAGGCCCTGGGGTTGCCAAGATGAAAATAAAATAGTTCATGCCCTCAAGGAGCTTACCTTCTACTGGGAGGCGGTAGGTGGAGTGGAGCAGAGAGACATAACATGTGCAGAAATAATTATAGCAAAGGTTGATTGAGGAGCAAGAGTGTAGGGCATCAGGAAAGGCTTCATGGAAGAATTGAGTTTTGGAGGAAAACAAAGATTTTGAAAGGTGGCATTGAGAAGGCAGGGCATTCAAAGAATGGGAACTGGATGGTTCTTGCTCACGTTCTCTAATACATTATCCACAGAGCATTGACCTAAATTTTTGGATTCATTGTTCTGAGGTTGAAAATATTTATATAATATCAGTGTATATTTAGGGCCGTCTACCTGCTAACCATTACTCCCACCATATGACCATGCCTCTTTCAGAGCATATGTGTTTTTGATACTTTCTATGTCACTTTTATCAGGCAAAGAATTATTGGTAATATTTTATAGACTGCTTATACACATGACAGATTTTTTTCTTCCTTCCTTCTTCCTCCTTTCCTCCCTTCCTTCCTCTCTTCCTTCCTTCCTCCTTCTCTTCCTTCCTCCCTTCCTCCCTCCCTTCCTTCCTTCCTCCTTCTCTTCCTTCCTCCCTCCCTTCCTTCCTTCCTTCCTTCCTTCCTTCCTTCCTTCCTTCCTTCCTTCCTTCCTTCCTTCCTTCCTTCCTTCCTTCCTTCTTTCCTTCCTTCCTTCCTATTAGCTAGCATTTTTAAAGTGCTTTAAGGTTTGCACAAGACTTTACATGTTATCTCATTTGATCCTCACAACAATCCTATGAGGTAGATGCTCTTATTCCATTTCATAGACAAGAAAATGGAATCTGAGATAGGTCAAGTGACTTGTCCATTTTCACACCATTAACAAGTGTTTGAGGCAGGATTTGAATTTAAGACTTCCTTCCTGAATCTAAGTCCAATACTCCAAGCTGTGTGTGTGTATATGTGTGTACACACATATATACATTCACATGGACATGTCTCTGCATGTATATGTGCGTGCACACACACACACACACACACACACACACACACACACACACACACATATATATATATATATATGCACAGACATACATATACATATACACAGTTCTTGCTTTCGGGTAAGTGGATCATGCCACAGACTTCCTTCTCCAGTCATGCCTTTTGGACTCTATGCCCCCACCCCCATCCCCCAGCCTAAGCTTCTTCAATGCCTGAGGCCCCACAACCAGAGGGGTGTCACTGCCTGTTTCTGCCTTCCCCCTTTCCCATCAGAACCAGAGTAGTGGACCTCTGCCTCAGGCTGCTCCCATGTTGCTGCCGCAGGGGCTGTCCTCCATAGGAGACAGAGACAGGCTGTACCTCCTCCAGCGGAGTCAAATTAAGTAATGCCAATATATGGAAAGTGAGAACTAGATGTTTGTGTGTGTATATAGACACACATGCATATATGCATATATGCATGTATATATACACATATACTTGTGTGTATACTTAAATACACATTCGCTCTTCTAGCAAGTATTAAGTAAGCACTTACTATACCCCAGGGACTAGGGATGCAGAACCAAAACCAAAACATTCCCTGCCCTTTCTTTTGGGTCACCTGCAATTGTTACTTTTCTGAGATCGTGGCATCCTGTAATGTGTGGAAGTGGCCTCTTGTGATGGTTTCTTCCTCAGACAATCCTTCTACTAGGCACTTGAGAACCTATAAAATTGATTTTCGCTGGGTCCAACTCTGATGTGGAGGGCTCAGTGCTTCTGTGATGCACTCTACTGGCACTGCCTTGGACCTTCCTCTAAACTGATGCACAGGAGGCCTGGATTGGCAGATGTTCAGAGACTGGGCTCCCATGTCTGGAATGCATTTCCTTCTCATGTATCCTTAAGATCCCTATCTTCCTTCATATCACAACTCAAGGGTCCCCCTTCTTGCTTGAGAGCACCCTGCAATGAGTGTGTCTATTTTGCCTACAACTGAAGCAAAATAATTTGGCCTGTTTCATTGCACTCTCTTGGTTGCTATTCTAGAAACATCCAACCCTGACCTCTACTTCCAAACCTCTTTGCTCCTCTGGGAGTGGGTTTATTCACTGCTCTGCCTGACTTGAGTTTCTTTAGTCCAGTTTGGTTGATCTGAGTCAGCGTCTTTTTTGGTCTTGGTGGCCCAGACCTGAGGAAGTTCCTTGGGACCACACAAAGCCAACTTGTATTGCTTCTGAATAGTCTCTCTCTGTCTATCAGCTTTGTCTCCACCTTGGAGCCTATTACCATTGTGAATACAGCCTTAAGCATTTCTTTGTATAACATCCCCTGGATGTATTTGGGCAAGACCAGAACAGCTTAGTCACTCACTCTGAGGTCACTGCCCTTTTGATTATTTTTCTCTGAAGCAGACTTTCCAAACTTAAAACAAAGGCAGAGCCCTTTCTCTCTCCTAGGAACCTCACCCTCTTATAATTACCTTGGATTTTTATCTATCTGTCTTTTATTTCTATTCATCTATTTGTCTGTCTACCTATCTATCTTTCTGTCTTTCTAACTTTTTGTCTATCTACCTATCTCTCTCTTTCTATCTCTTTCTTCTATCTCTCTGTCTTTCTATCTACCTATATTTCTCTCTATATTTCTATTTGTCTCTCCATCTGTGTCTACTTGTCTATCTTCCTGTCTTTCTATCTCTCTTTCTATCTACCTCTCTCTCTCTCTCTCTCTCTCTCTCATTGTCCACCTATAGAACATAAACATTTTGATTAGTTTCTGTATCTTCCTTGCTTAGCACAATGCTTGTCCCACAGAGTCCTTAATTTTTATGGATTTGACTAGCTGTCCTCCGGGCTCTCAGTACCAGCACAGACGTGGGTACTATGACTTTACAGCACTGTATTTTGAGGGTACGTACAGCATTACAGACAGGTCCCCTGAGCTTCTTTAGGAGCCTCTTATTTCTATGCATCCATTTCCTGCAATATGTATATCACCTCTGAAGCATGCCTCAGCCAGGACTCAAAGGGTTTCTCCAAAGGGAAGTAAGCAATGCTACTCTGAAAATGAACAGCCCATTTTGGATGTACTGTTTGACTGATAGCTGGGTCCACAGCTGCAGCCCTTGCTGCCATTGGCCCTCGTCCAATGGCTGTGCAGGATGGCATTTCTCTGCCTTCTTCCCATAACCCCCATTCCCAACACCCCCAGCAAGTCTTTTACTTCATCGGCAATCCATCCTCGTCTCACCATAAAGGATTCAAACTGGCTTAGCGGATCTTAGATAGCAACAGAAGATTTAGGGATTAATTTTGAAGTATTCTGTTTGCTAAGTATCTCTCTAGGGAGCTGGGAAGGCCCCATTATCCTTACAGAATATACCCAAAGCCGTTGCTGTGTAATCTTCTTTCCTGTAAGCTTTCTTAATAACTTACATTTCCCCAAGAAGTACATGACATTTCAAAAAGTTCTTCCAATGTTTCCTCTTTACAATTAGTAGGCACTCTCTGGCCCTATTACCCAATCAATAGTACTTGATGAGGGGTTCTCATTACCAGGTACAGATTCTCTAATAACTGAGTAATCTTGATGGCCACTCACCACAACACACAATTGTACAATGTTTCCTTGAATCAAATTTGCCTGTTTTGTAAGCAAGGTCTTTACTGGATACATTTTTACCAAACTGTAGACTGGAAGCCTTGAAAACATCCATGTCCTCTACCAATGCAAAGGTACAGCTACCAACTAGGGGAGTCAGGATAGGCTTTCCATGTGAAGAGGTACATGACCTGAGCCTTGACAGAAGTTAAGGCTTCTAGGATTCAGAAATGAGAAAGAAGTAAATTCTAGCCCGTGCAAAGGCAAAGATAGGAGATGGAATGTTAGATTTGAGGGACAGTAAATAGACCTATTTTTCCAGGACTTAGAATGTATAAAGATGAATAAATAATATGAAGGAAGCCTAGAAAAGTAGAACTGGATTAAGACTCAAAAATGCTAAAGGGCAATGCAAAGAGTCTGTATTGTATCCTGGAGACTATAGAAAACCCCCTAATGGATCAGAAGGTGACTTGGTAAACTTTGTACTTTAGGACAATTATTTTGCCAGTGTAATACTGTGGAGTTTTTACTAAGAAATATTCACTGCAGAAGGCATAATCACAAATATCCAAACACTCTCCCCCTAAAATGTGGGAGGCGTAGTCCTGCTCCCTCATGTACCACCGCAGTCTCTGGGGAGGGGAAGGGGATTAGGTTTATAATTTAGCTCATTTCCCATAGAGCCCAGTCCCAGTTCCAAGTCCAAAGCTCCTTTGAGGTTTGAGCCCCAAGCGCCCTGGCTTCAGGCTCCAAGATCACCAAGGTCAAACACCACCCGCCTTATCCCATCCTGTGTAGTCACCCCTAGCACCTAAAACTGAGGACAAATAATACAAAGCAGAAACAAACACTTTTGGATCTATTTCCAGGTGAAAAAGGGAAACCAGAAGAAAAGGATCCTTCCCCTTTCAACAGTTCAGTTCATGACATCCATGTTGGTCAAAACAGCTAGAAGAAGAGCCTAAAAAAGGGCAGAAAGAGAGAGACAAGCATGATCTCAACAGCTTTAGAGGTGCAGGCAGCCAATGAAAGAAGCTACTCCCTCCCATGTGGTGGGGATGCACCAAGCTCCATATTAGACATACTGGACATGCTCAAAGGCTAGGTTAACTGCAGCTTCACGGAAGTTGGCAAAGGGGGGCAGTGGAAGCCAGGAGTCCAATTAGGAAGTCCATATGAAAGGTGGTGAGAACCTGAGCTAATCTGGTGGCTGTGGGAATGGAGTGAAGGGGACAGATATGAGATACGTCATAGAAGTAGAACTGTTAAGACATGGCAAGGGATTGGATGTGAAAGGAGAGGGAAGGGTCAAGGGTAACTGAACTTGTGAACCTTAGTGACTGCAAGGATAGTCATATCCTCAACAAAACTAGGGGAAATTTAAAGAATGGGCAGTTTTAGAAGGAAAGATAAGTTCTATTTTGAGCACATTACATTTGAAATGCCTGTGACAGATTTTTGTTAGAGGCAGTTGATAATGGTGAACCTAGAGTTCAGAAAAGAGATTAGATATGGGAGATGGAATGTGTAGATATGGGAGTTACTTGTTGATAGAACTTGTGGGAACTCACGAAATCATCAATAGTGGGAGCTGAGAGAAGAGTGGAGAGCTTGGAGCAGAACCTTAGGGGACAGGGACAAATAATTCCTTAAATGAGAATGAGAAAGAATCAAACAGATGGGACGAGAAACGGAGAGAATAATATTATTGACATTTTGGTTTTCAACTCTGAAAGTGAGTACCCAGGAGGAGAGAGTGGTCAGCAGTATGGGAGCTGAAGGAGGATGATGAGGACTGAGAAGATACCATCGGGTTTAGTAATTGTGAGATCACTGGTAACCTTGAAGAGATCAGTTTCAGCAGAGCAATGGAATCGAGGACTGCGTGAGTAGGAAGTGAGGCCATATACGTAACTAGTAGTTTTTTGTTTGTTTCTTTTATTAGTGTTATGTTTTTGTTTGTTTTGCCTGTGGTACTGTGGAACTCACCAGAAATTTGCAAATTGTCCAATTCAAAATAATCACCCTGTAACTACTGGGTGAGGATTCCTCCCTCAGGAAAAAAAAAAAAAAGGTAGTTATAAACCAAAAGTTTATCTCCTCCACAGAGAGAACCATAGAAAGAAAGTACAGGTCCAGAATCATAGAATCTCAGATTAGGAAGGGACTTGAGTCTTGATCTAATCTCTAAGATCTGTGCCTTTGCTCAGATATGAACAGAAATCTCTTCTGCAACATTCCTGACAAATAGACTTCCAGACTTTGCTTGAATATCTCCATTGAGAGGAAATTCATTACTTTCCCAAGCATCCCATCCCACTTGGGGATAGTTCTCTTAGGAAAATTTTCATTACATTGAATTGCAACATGACTCCCTATCACTTTTACCCATCAGTCCTATCACCAGCCCTCTGAGGCCAAACTGAACAAGTTTAATCCCTCCTCCACATGAAAAACCTTCAAATATTTGGAGACAGTTGCGACATTCCCCTCTAAATTTTTTCTTCTCCAAGGACAACATTCCTAATTCTTGTTGCCCTCCTCTGAATGTCCCAGTTTGTCAATGTGCTTTCTCAAATGTGGTATCCAGCAATTAAGGGAATGATCCAAATATGATCAGAGTACAGCAGGACTAGAAGCTCCCTTATTCTGTACACTTTATTTCTGTGACTGCCATCTAAAGTCTATTTAGTGTTTTTTGACTGTCACATCACACTGTTGCCTCATAGTCCACTAAAACAGGTACTTCTGTTTATCATTGTGTCCATGGGGGATGTTGAATTTTTGAAACTAAGTACAAGATAACTCTAGATTCAATGGGACCATGACTTTATATTTATCTCTGTTAAATTTTATCTTATTAGATAGGGACCATTTTTCTAGCCTGTTAAGATTGCTTTAGGATCCACAAATTTTTTTTTAAAAAAAGATATTAACAATACTACAAAATGCTTGTAATATCACATCTTGGAGTGGCAAAGAACTGGAAACAAAGAAGATGCCCTATGATTAGAGATTGGATAAACAAGATATGGAATGTGTATGTAATGGAATAATACTGAACAGGCTGAACAACTTGTGGTATGTGATTGTGATGGAAGTGATATAACAAATGATGAGCTCAATGATTTTAGAAAAACATGGAAAAACTTGCACGAAATAATGAAGATCAAGGTGAGTAGAACCAAGAGAACATCGTATATAGTACCAGTAATATTGTTTTAAGAATGACTTTGAATGAATAAGTCATTTGGACTATTATAAATACCCAGATTAACTATATGAAGAAAGACACTATCTGCATCCAGAGAAAGAACTGATAAATAGAAGTATGTATAGAATGATTACATATATATGTGTGTCTATATCTATATCTGTATCTATATCTATATCTAAATCTATATAACTATTTGTGTCTAATGTGATTTCTAGGGTGGGGGGTGGAGGAAGGAAGAAAAAAATGATAAAAAAGAAATTTACTTGATAACTTAATTATATATTTAAAAGGAATAGCAAGTTTTACATAATAGATTTGCAGTTTCATATGCAATAATCTTTTTTTATTATACTATGTTGTGGAAAGGCTTGTTTTATTCCATAAATTAAAAATAAAATTAAATTTTAAAAAAGAAATAATGGATTTGATGAACATGTAAAGAAGCATAGAAAGACTTACATGAACTGTGAAGTAGGCAGAATCAGAAAAAAATATGACAACAAAAATATAATTGGAAAGAGCAATAAAATAATTCAAACTGCTATTAAATTATAATAAACAAGCATAACTCCAAAGAAAATATATGAAAGGGTACTTTTCTATTTATCTGTAGTGGTAGGGGACTATGGAAGTGGAACACTGTGTAATGTCAAACTTTTCCAACATGTTGATTGGTTTTGTTGAACTGCCTGCCTTTAATTCTTTATTATAAGGTCTGGCTTCTCTGGGAGGGAAGGGGAAAGAGAAAGAAAAGTAAGTGAACAAGTGAAGTCAACAAGCTAGTAAGCATCTATGACATGCCTACTATGTGCCAAGTCCTGTACTAAGCATTGGAGATAAAGAAAGGCAAAGAGTAGTCTCTACTCTCAAATAATGGTCTGATGGGGAAGACAATATACAAACTAGTACAAACAAGATACAAAGAAGGATAAACTGGAGATAATCAACAGAGGGAAAACACTAGCATTAATGGGGATTGGGAAAGGCTTCTTGTAGTAGGTGATACATAGAGAAATGGGAATGATATAAAAAGAAATTAAAATTTTATTTCTTTAAAAACATATAGGCTACCCCTTTCAGCTTCAAGTAATTTGCAAATTTGGTGAATGTGTTATATATGCCTTCATTTAAGTCATTGATAAAAATGAGCAGAGAAATGAGCAGAAAGAGAGCTCCTATTAAACTACAATAGAGATTTTTTTCCTCCATGCTGATGTTGATTCATTAATTTTGGGGTAGTTGTTTATTTATATCTGAATTACCTAAATGTACACTCATTTAGCCTACATTTATATCTTGTCCACACGTATGGGGTAAGAAATTTTGTCAGATGCTTTTTGTCGTTGTTGAGTCGTTGCAGTCATGTCTGACTTTTCACGACCCCATTTCAGGTTTTCTTGGCAAAGATACTGGAGTAGTTTGCCATTCTGTCTCTGACTCATTTTACAAATGAGGAAACTGAGGCAAACAGGGGTAAGTGACTTGCCCAGGGTCACACAGCTAGTAAGTGTCTGAGGCCAGATTTCTTCTACTTCCCTCCTTACACTCTTCCCTCCCCAAGACGCAAGTAATCTGATAAAGGCGATACATGTACAATTATATCAAATACATTTCTGCATAAGTCAAGCTGTGAAAGAAGAATCAAAACAAAAGGGGAAAACGAAGAGAAAGAAAAACAAAACAAAAAGGTGAAAATAGTATGTTTCAATCTGCGGTCAGACTCCATAGCTCTTTTCCTGGGTGTGGATAGTAGTTTCCATTCAAATTCTCTCCCCTTCTCCCTCCCTAACCACACCCCCTCATTGAGAAGGCAAGCAATTCCATATAGGTTAAATATGTGTAGTCATGCAACCATATCCATAATAGTCATATTGTGAAAGAAAACGTAGACAAAAAAAAACTCAAGAAAAATAAAGAAAGTAAAAAAAAGTATGCTTCAATCTGTATTCAGACACCGTGAGTTCTTTGTCGGGTGATGGATAGCATTTTTCATCATAAGTCCTTCAAGTTGTCTTGGTTCATTGTATTGCTGAGAATAGCTAAGTCATTCACAGCTGATCATCTTACGATATTGCTATTACTTTTTACACAGTACATTTCACTTTGCATCAGCCATTCAAGTCTTTCTTGGTTTTTTGAGAGCATCCTGGTCATCATTTCTTATAGGACAATAGTATTCCATCATAATCACATACCACAACTTGTTCAGTTATTCCCCAATTGATGGGCATCCCCTCAATTTCTAATTCTTTGCCCCCAGAAATGAGCTGCTATAAATATTTTTGTACATATAGGTCCTTTTTCCTTTTTGTTTTTTATCTCTTTGGGGATACAGACCTAGTAATGGTATTGCTAGGTCAAAGGGTATAATAGTTTTATAGCCCTTTGGGCATAGTTCCAAATTGCTCTACAGAATGGTTGAATCAGTTCACAACTCCACCAACACAGCATTAATGTCTTTTTTTCCCCACATTCCCTCCAACATTTGTCTTTCAACTTCTCTGTCCTATTAGCCAACCTAATAGGTATGAGGTTGTACCACAGAATTGTTTTAATTTGCATTTTTCCAATCAGTAGTGAGTTAGAGTATTTTTTCATTTGGCTATAGATAGCTTTGATTACTTTATGTGAAAACTGTTCATATCTTTTGATCATTTATCCATTGGGGAATGGCCCTTATTTTTATAAATTTGATTCAGTTCTCTATATATTTGAGAAACAAGGCCTTTATCAGAGAAACTTGCTTCAATTTTTTTTTCACAGTTACTATTGCTAACTGTATTTCCCTCCATCCTATTCCTCCCCCATTTATTCTATTCTCTCTCTCTTTTCACCCTGTCCCTCCTCAAAAGCATTTTTCTTCTACCTCCTCCTCCAATCTGCTCTCCCTTCTAAGAACGCTCCCCTTCTCTTATCCCCTTCTCGTCCTACTTCCCTGTAGAGTAAGATAGATTTCTATACCCAATTGCATGTGTGTATTATTCCCTCTTTGAGCCAATTCTGATGAGAGTAAGGTTCAATCACTTCCCCTGACCTCCCCCACTTCTCTTCCACAGTAAAAGCTTTTTCTTCCTTCTTTTATGTGAGATAATTCATCCCCATTTTACCTCTCCCTCTTCTTTCTCCCAGTGTATTTCTCCCTCATCCCTTAATTAAAAAATTTTAGATATCATCCCTTCATATTCTAAGCCCTCTTGTCCTTTAATTTGGACGTTGCTAAATCTTGTGTGATCCCTGATTATGGATCCATGATATTTGAATTTTTTCTTTCTGGTTGTTTACAATGTTTTCTCCTTGATCTGGGAACTCTGGAATTTGGCTATAACATTCCTGGGACTTTTCATTTTGGAATTTCTTTCAGGAAGTGATGGATATATTCTTTTAATAGGTTCTAGGATATCAGGGCAGTTTTCCTTGATAATTTCTTGAAAAATGATGTCTAAGCTCTCTTTTTTTTTTATCATGGCTTTCTGGTAGTCTAATAGCACTTAAATTTCCTCTCCTTGATCTGTTTTTCAAGTCAGTTGTTTTTCCAATGATATATTTCACATTTTCTTCTATTTTTCTTTCTTCTGACTTTATTTTGTTTCTTGATGTCTCATAGAGTCATTAGTTTCCACTTGCCCAATTCTAATTTTCTAGATATTATTTTCTTCAAAGAGCATTATTTGTACCTCTT